AACTGAGCAGATATCAGTGTGTCTTGAAAAATTAGTTTGCATTCCAGGAAACAGTCTGGTAGATATCCTACGGAGGTGTCTTATCAGCATTTCTCCCAAGCCTGTGAAACAAGCTTAGAACAAATGTTATGAAGCGTTTAAAAGAGGCTTGTTAGAAAGGGAAGGGAGAAGGGAACTTTGCACCAACTAGAGACTCCTTGGTGTGAATTATCCATGAGCCGTGAAAACAAGGAGGGGGATGCAAGAATGTAGACTTGAGAGTCGTTTATCTTTTCCCAAAGTTTGAACAAAGGAGCTGTTTGAATCAGAGGATCCAAAAATCTTGGGGTTTAATTACCAGGTGCTTCTCATAAACTATGGAAGGCCACTGCAAAGAAAAGGAGAGGCCTTTTTCTAACCTTACATAAAATACCTAATTTATGAAAATTTGATATACAAATCTCCAACTTATAAAACAATTATAATTTTGAGGAAAATCATCACTTTGAAAAGTAATTCACTACCTTTTCTTTTATCGTTTTCTTTTCTTTCTTTTACATAGACCATTTCTCTACTAAAGTTAATACACATTTATTTACATGGATATTTTCAGGTACATCTACCACAAACAGTGGCGTACATCTTTATAACATTCTTTCTTATTTTTCAAAATATATCAATGATAAGTGAAGGGCTTTGAATTTAACTTAATTTTATTAAAATTAAACTAAATTGTCTAGACACTTTCACCCAATCCTGGCAATAATAAATAAATAAATAAATAAAATAAATAAATAAATAAATAAATAAATAAATAAATAAATAAATAAATAAAATAAATCTGAGCAATTGTGTGATCAAGAGGGTGTGAAACAGAAAAAACATTATACAAATGAAGGTGTGATGGCAAACTTCTCTTTGGTGTTTAAGACTTTCTGTTGATAGGAATCTGAGTAGAAATGAAAAGAAACCCCAAATCACTCATTTAAAGACCTCAAAAACATCATCCCTTAACTTGCAATCCTGCCATTGTTTTATGTTTTCTTCTCCCCCCCCACTGATCATCTTCCTTAATGTTAATTAAATAGAAAAATATTTAATTCTAGAACTTCTGATACTAACAACATCAAACACTTTGTTTAAATTCATAAATGTATCTGTTGGTGACATCTGGGAGTTGTTAGAAACCATCTTTTCTGGAACATTGAAAAGTAAGATATTACTGGCTCCAAATAAATTCATCTATGATCTCTGTGTTTACCTGTAAAATATCATCTCCCTAACCATGAATATAAATTAGCTACTGGGGAAAAAATTTTTTTTGTCCTCGTTGTTGGTGTCATTTGAAGGAACAGAAAAAATTGAAGTTACATTCTTGTAGTGCATATAGATGGTGATGTATATGATCTTTACTTTGGGGAACAAAACAAAAAAAAATCAGCACCAAAAAAGAAACTGTTGGAAAATACCCTAAGTATTGAGAATAAGTTTACAATTCCCTACTACTGTCTGCCTGATTTAGAATAATTTGGGTATTTCACTATCCCCAGTGCTTATTTGAGTCCTAACATACTTGAGATAAAGGTGTGCTTGAAGCAAGAGAACATTCATTAGCATTGTTGTTTTCTCTAAACCTACTGGGCCCATTCTTAAATCCATAGGACAAAACCAGATATAGGAATGAGCAGTGTATCAGTGCCCACGGCTTTTCTGAAAACTAAAATCTTATATTTCAAGTTGAATTCTGATATTCCATACCAAATGTGTTTTTAAAAGTCTGTAATATAATTGAGCCTAAAGAATCACATATTTTACATCATTAATTTTGGGCATTCCTCTTGCTTTATAACAAAGGTTACAGATTTATGGAGTTTACTCATTTACTCTCAAAACATAGCATTTCAGAAGTAGCAATAATAAATCAAAAAGTCATGGGACTGGACAATCATTCACTCATTTAAATCACAGCATTATTATGTGCACATGTTTTTGCTTGGCCTATCGCTTAGTATGAACCCAGCCTAGTTAGTACTTGCCTCATTTTCTTAATCTATAAAGTGGGGATAAGAATAGTGGCTATCTCAGAGTGTTGTTAGGAGCAGTGCATATGTGTTAATACATGCATAGCACATAAAACTGACTGGCAATGTTATTGCTGTTATTCCTTATTTTTATGTATTGTAATCAGAAACTGAGTTTTGCAACACAATGCAGTTTTTGGTTAATGCTATATCACATACAGTTTGTCTAGCCCATGGAGGTAATCTTTGAAGTAAAATGAACTCAGCATTTTTCTATTGATTTGAAATAAATGTTAATTGCATGTGGTCAGAAAACTTGCATTTCCATGGTGACTTAAATAGACACAAGTTATACAATTTAAACTTTAAAAAGTTTCCAGTACCTCAGTACACTTACCCTTTAGTAGTTAAGTGAGGGAGTGAAATATTGCTAAATTGCTTTGAAAACAATAGAAGAAATAAGCAGTTAAGAATGTTGTCCCAAGGACATGTACATTGGTTGCAGGCTTGATCCCTGGCCATCAATTGATGTGTCTCTGTCACATTGATCTTTCTCTCTCTCTCTCTTTCTCCCTTACACTCTCTCTGAAAAGCAATTGAAAAAATATCCTCAGGTAAAGATTTAAATAAATAAATAAATAAATAAATAAATAAATAAATAAATAAATAAAGCATGGATGGACCTACAGAATAGTATGCTAAGCAAAATAAGCCAGGCAGACAAAGACACATGATCTCACTTATATGTGAAATCTAAAAAGCAAAATAAACTGATGAACAAAATACATCCAGTGACACAGAAGCATAGAACAGACTGATGAATCTCAGAGGGAAGGCGGGAGTGGGTAGGTGGGCAGAGATTAACCAAAGAATTTTTATGCATAAACGCACAACCCATTGACACAGACAATAGTGAGGTGAACGCCTGGGGCAAGGTGTGGGTGTGGGGTAGAAGGGGTCAATGGGGGGAAAAAGGGGACATCTGTAATTCTTTCAACAATAAAGATAAATAAATATAAATAAATAAATAAATAAATAAATAAANTGTTGTTAGGAGCAGTGCATATGTGTTAATACATGCATAGCACATAAAACTGACTGGCAATGTTATTGCTGTTATTCCTTATTTTTATGTATTGTAATCAGAAACTGAGTTTTGCAACACAATGCAGTTTTTGGTTAATGCTATATCACATACAGTTTGTCTAGCCCATGGAGGTAATCTTTGAAGTAAAATGAACTCAGCATTTTTCTATTGATTTGAAATAAATGTTAATTGCATGTGGTCAGAAAACTTGCATTTCCATGGTGACTTAAATAGACACAAGTTATACAATTTAAACTTTAAAAAGTTTCCAGTACCTCAGTACACTTACCCTTTAGTAGTTAAGTGAGGGAGTGAAATATTGCTAAATTGCTTTGAAAACAATAGAAGAAATAAGCAGTTAAGAATGTTGTCCCAAGGACATGTACATTGGTTGCAGGCTTGATCCCTGGCCATCAATTGATGTGTCTCTGTCACATTGATCTTTCTCTCTCTCTCTCTTTCTCCCTTACACTCTCTCTGAAAAGCAATTGAAAAAATATCCTCAGGTAAAGATTTAAATAAATAAATAAATAAATAAATAAATAAATAAATAAATAAATAAATAAATAAAGCATGGATGGACCTACAGAATAGTATGCTAAGCAAAATAAGCCAGGCAGACAAAGACACATGATCTCACTTATATGTGAAATCTAAAAAGCAAAATAAACTGATGAACAAAATACATCCAGTGACACAGAAGCATAGAACAGACTGATGAATCTCAGAGGGAAGGCGGGAGTGGGTAGGTGGGCAGAGATTAACCAAAGAATTTTTATGCATAAACGCACAACCCATTGACACAGACAATAGTGAGGTGAACGCCTGGGGCAAGGTGTGGGTGTGGGGTAGAAGGGGTCAATGGGGGGAAAAAGGGGACATCTGTAATTCTTTCAACAATAAAGATAAATAAATATAAATAAATAAATAAATAAATAAATAAATAATAAATAAATAATGTCCTTACAGGGAAAACTATATTTCTATATCTACTGCTAAAATTAATAATTATTTTGGGTAATTTTAATTACCCCTGAATTTGTAACTGTCACTGGAGGAAAAAAGAGGAAACTGCTAGGTTTTTGAATGTCTTTAGAATTGACAATAATATTGTGCTGATTGAAGATAGAATTTAGTTTTGTTTCATGATTGTTAGAATTAATTTTCATCTGGATATTATGAGCATGCAATCAATCATGTTCTGTTTAAGGTGCTTAAATTATTCTTATTGATTGTAATTCTTTTCTGGCACTGAGAACTTTTGTCACCTTTTTGAAATTTAGGTCTATTCATAAAGCCTCATTTTTATACTGATTAGTAGCTGAACCTGAAAAAGGCCACTTCAAAATAAAGTAAAACTTTTTTTCTGGCAAAATGTTCAGTCATCCAAATTTATTAGGACAAACATTTCTTGACTTTCTGAAAGGAAAAACTGGGCAAACTAAAACTCTATGAAGTATACCAGCTTTCTTTTCTTTTTTTTCTTCAGTCCTCAAACTGAGGATACATTTATTGATTTTAGAGAGGAAGGAGGGGAGAGGGAGAGAGAGAAAGGGCGAAAGAAACATAGAACCCTCACAACCTGAGTATGTGCCCTGACGGGAATTAAACCTGCCAACTTTCTGTGTACAGGATGACACTCCAACCAACTGAGAATTTTCATTTTAAAGAAAGAGTTTGATCATGACCCCATGAAAAGTGTTCCTTGGTTTAATTGTGTACTATAATTACTTATTTGTCCTTAAGAAATAATTTGCTAATATTTATGTTTTAAAGCTAAACTGTAAGGCTGAGTGAAAAGTCCTTGATAAGTACCCATCTCTAGAGACCTTAAAATTTTATGAAAAGCTCTAATATTTCAACTACATTAATTTTTGGATATAAAATATCTATTATAGGAGTCAACTACCACATGAAGTTGAATTTGTTTTAATTGAAAAAGATAGTTAAAAATTTCCTGTGTTATTGTGACAGTGCAAGATACAAGGTGAGTTTATTTATTAACAACAAAACAATGTAAAACAAATTCTGAAAGCAAAAGTGGACTACAAAACAAAGGTTTTTGATAGCTTTCGCCTTATTTAAATATGTTACACATCATTATGCCACAGCTGATAAATGCTATAGAGTGTAAGTTAGCATTTGATAATTTACTTTTAAACATATCCCCCCAACTCAGTGCACTATGGAAACAAAATATATGTATGATAAACTCTTCCTCCTTCAAGTATCACAGTCTTGTGGTCACATAATCTTCATGGGTGACTGTGTTTATGAGGGCTGCATCATAGTCTGTATTGGAGTCCTCTTCCCTTGCATGCTTCTCCTTTGGTATTATTGGGACAGTGTCCTCCACCACTGCCTTCTCTGATTTGAAGGAACACATTATCTTGCCAACCTGTAAACCCAGACTGTCCGCATTCCTTTCCCGGTGGTCTACTAATATGCATTGTTCACTGAGACCAGGGATGCTCAGGTCACCCCTTGAAGCTAATCCTCGAGATTCCAGTTGGCTATTTCTCTCCAGTGATGCTTCAGCCTGTTGACAAGCAACCTCTTCTGAAACAGAGAAGATTTGGTTTGCATTTTGCTCTGCAGCATTTTGTTTTGATCGTCTATAAAATAGCCCGAAGTTTTTGATATCGGTCACAAAATTCATTTTTCTCTGCTTTTCCCGCAGGCGCTCCTGCACCACTGGAGGGGAGCCATTGCTTATGTTGTGTCTTTCTGCAGCAATTGCTGCTGATCGAGGGTGGATCAGGGTGGTTAAATCGAAAAGACTAAAGTTCTTCTTCTTGTCTTTGCTGGTACCTTCGTTATCACTCTTTTCATCAGAACCTGCTGAATTAGAAGAGTCCTTCGTGGCCTGAGCAGACTGTAGGGCAGACAGTTTACTTCCTCTTAGTAACCCCAGGACTTCAAAGCGAAAACTAGAAATGTCTTGCTTTAGCTCCTAAATGAAATTTAAAATGATGAATTTAGTTTGTGACTTAAATAAACATTAGGAAACATTATTTGCTCATTTCACATATGGGTCTGATGTGTTTTCAGGCATTTTTAAGAGCTAGGATTCTACTCTGCTGTGGTTCTATCTAGAATTTCCAGTTTTCTTCCAGGTACTTATGTCATTGTGATGTCTATTAATTTTCTTATTCCAGTTCTGTAGTAATAAGGAGATTTCTTAAGGCTCATGTAAAAAGAAACAGGAAGAGTTTTCTTTTTCACCACTGTGTAGTCTAATATATTGGTTTTTTTGGGACTACACTTTCAAATACATCCTCTTCAAATATCCTTCTGCTTTTAAATCACCTCACACTCTTTCAAGGATACATTTTGTAAAGATTTTTAATATAGACATATTTTGCTGTCCAAACAGACATATATAACAAAACAATGAAAATGAAGCCTGCCCTTTCTAGCGTTGGCAGTAACTTTCCATTGTTTATTACCTTAAAGTTGATTTTACCTCAACACCTGGGTTAGCCACTAAATCTTGCAAATTGCTTCATTCAATTAGACAACATTTCTGAAATTCATCCTTTTTCTTCTCTTTTTGGACACCTGAATTCTCAGTTCTAACCTGTTGGTGATCTTTGGGTTAGGCCCTTGTCTCTATCCTATCTCCCAAAGTACCAAGAAACACTTAATTCTAAAATTTGAATATTGTGTCTATAAAGAACATATTGGATCCTAGCCAACTTTCAATGTGCTTTTAGTTTTGCAATTTATCTTCTTAGCTAATTGGCTGCTTATATTTGTTCTCTGTCAAACTTGCTGCTTTTCTCTGTTAGAAGTCTCCTGTAGTATGCTTTTTTGTTTGTTTGTTTGTTTTTCCTATAAGATCTTATTGACTTTAAACATTCTTCCAAAATATTGAAAAACTCAGGCAGAATAATAGAGGTATTTTATACACATGATATGAGCATATATATATGCATATATTTATATTTATTTAAGTATTTCATGTATTCTATCTATCTCCTCTGGTCACAATAAAATGAAAACTCAGGGAGAAAAGCTAAGTTTCTAAGTTACAATTTTCTAAGTTTCTAAGTTAAAATTTTCTTTAACCAAAGCTGTGCAAAGCACAAAGAAGGTTTTTGTTGTTGTTTTTAATATGTTCACTACTAAATGTTTCAGGATTAGAAATCAGACTGAAATTTCAAAAACTAAAGCTCACTCAGTAGAGTGTTTTTGGGATAGGCAAGTCAGAATGCCACAGGCTCTAGGATTTCTCCTCCTCCAAATAAGTCATCTTGACATGTCAGATTAAATATGTTTGAAAACAATGCATTTTGAGAAGAAATGCCATCACTTTTTTTGATAATTCAATAGTGCTTTAATTTAAAAATCAGAAGACACACAATCTTGCTGGAACACGTGGCTGCATTTCCTGTTCTGATTTTCAATGTGCTGTGAGTGCACCTCTTGGTGATTTCATTATGAAAATAAAAATAATTACCTTAAAGTTCTCTTCAGTCAGGCCTTCTTCAGTTTTGGCATCTCTAATCATTGCAGCAACATATCGCTTCACCAGGTTCCTCATAACTTCCTGAGGTATTTTAAAATAACACAATTTATATTCATGTATAAATATGATTTCCTTCTTTAGTCAGTTCTGAAAAGGGGACTGCATTTTATTTTATTTTTTTAAAGTTTTTATTGGTTTTAGAGAGAGAGGAATGAAAGGGAGAGAGAGAAACTTCAGTGTGAAAGAGAAACATTGATTGACTACCTTCTGCACACCCCCTAATGGGGATCGAACCTGAAACCTGGGCATGTGCCCTGACTGAGAATGGAACCAGTGACCATTTGGTGCATGGGATGGTTCTCAACCAACTGAGCCATATCAGCCAGGGTTGAAGAGGGGACTGTATTTTAATGCAAATTTCAAGATATAATATAACTTACTTGATACTGGTGGTGTCGTCTCAAATTATCAGCAGCTCGCCTCTAAAAAGGAAAATGATATTTACTTTTCAGTTATATTGATATATATTACCATTCTAGAAAATAATTCATTTGTTCTTTTAATCAAGAATATTTTTCCCTCATTTCTTCAAAGTGGGTATTTAACTAGACAATGGACAATTGCCAGAGAGTGCTTCACGTGGATCAAAACAAGGAGTGAATCAAAACAGCAAGTGCAAGGTTATAATCTGTATGGCATTTGATATATAAAATAAGTTAAAAATAATGGAAATATTGCTTTTCTAATATAAGGTGATGGGGAATTAGGTAATTATAATTGACATATAACCCAAATCACTTGAAATGATACTAAGAGAAATAGATGGACCATATCAAATAAAATATAGAGCAAATATCAAATAAAAACAAAAATTCAATAGAATAAAAGCTATTATAATAACATAAAGGTTTTCATAAATATCAACATAGCAAGATTAAGTATTTAACCGTGACATTTAACATGTAATAAGAAACATGGTTACACAGTAAACACTCCAACACTAATTTCAATCAGAAGTACATTAAGAGAAAATTGCTATTTTAATTATGTGTTTGGATTTAACAATAAAATAAAATAAAAGATTCTGTTCAAACATAGAGTTAATTATTTTACACTTATTTTTAAAATAAATATGAATCTCAGATATCATTTTGAAGAGATAAAAATGGTTTGCAAGCACAACTAGGGTTAGCACAGAACAGTGATTCTGGAGTGAAGAATGGAGAGAAAAGATGTTTAATGATTTAAAGAAATCTATTATAAATTGAATTAAATAATAATACTAAAATTACGCATTTGAAGATTTCACAACTATTCTAAAGATTCTAGAGGAAAAAAGCTATCATTATCCCAGTTTTATGTATGTTAAATAAATACCAGTATTGATTCTTAAAGAAGGAAACTGGCCAAAATAATCTAAAATAAAAGTATTTCTGAAATAAAAGAATGAATCTGGTAAATTGTGAGAAAGCAAAAAAAAAATAACATATCTTAGTTTTAAATAAGTCTTTTTGATCTTGTTGCTTACTAAATACTTAACCATAGGCTGATAAAATTGAATTTGGAAAGAGTTATGCATACATCACTGTGAAAATGGTATTAGAAAAAATAAACAATTCAAAAGACAAAAGTAACTTTTATTTTCTCTCTCTCTTTAGGGAATAGGAGAAAATGGCATTTTTGGTAGCCATAAGAATGGATTTGTCTTTCCTAATTATTAGTAAAAAAATTTTATGACTGAGCCACCAGATGGAGTTATGTAACTGAGACATAGCTCACTAAAATCCAAGACAAAAAAAGTACTTCTATAAGAAAACAAGCCTTTCAGATCTCCTTAAATTTACTTGAAGTGAACACAGTTTATAAAGCCAGCTGTACACCAACTTCTTTAACACTCTCAGTATAAATATTTACAGGAAACCCATGTTCCATGATTTAAATAAATAGAAATTCTGAATTTAATATGGGATTTAGTGACTCAAGTTATTTCCCATCATCTTTCATTTTATTCCTGATTAGTAAGATGATTTAATAGTTTTTAAAAAATATTCTTGAACCAAGAAAATTGTGGATAGTTTGACATATATCAGGATTACTTCTGAGGAAGTAAAAGGATATACTTAAATGTAATTATCTCTTAGCCATACTGGCCAGGGTTCTCTCTGTGTGATTAGCATGGCATTTCATACTTGAGGAGAGCATTTTCATTAGTTATGGAGCTGGAAGCTATCAGCCTAGGCAGAAGAGGTTTGGAAGTAAGAAATTTGTATTTAAGTAATAGGGTGAGGGTATGGTTCCAGTAAATATGGATAGATTTAACACATTACTGTAGGCAGTGAATTTTGTTTTATTAAGACATTTTTTTAGAGCAATTTATGGTTCACATTAAAATTAAGAGGAAGATGCAGAATAAAACCAGGAGGAGAGAAGATGGCTGCACTGTGAAGAAGCAGAGCGCCCTTGCTCCCAGGCATGGACTCAATTTATCATTAAAATACTCTGTAACCAGCTTGGAAAAACAAGAGAAATATACCTGAGTGTACATATTTCAAGTAGGGAGCGCTGAAGAAACATCATAGAGTCTGTTTGGGGGGTGGGTGGTATAGAAAGGGGGAGTCCCTCTTGAAACCTGTGCTGGGCTCAGAGGCCAGAAGGCTAGAGGCTGCAATGTTCCCTCCCCTTGGGAGTGTAGCATCCAAAAGCTGGGATCTCAAAACCAGAGCAGAGGAGAGGGGAAGGAGAGCCTGTACAGGCCAGGCAGAGGGAGCCAGGGGAACAGTATGCCTGTGAGGAGGGAATCACGACTTCCCAGTGAAACAATGCATCTAATGGCAGCAGATGGGACAGGAGCCTTTCACCCTGGGTGCTGACCATGGGAAAGGCTGTCCCACAGTGTGTGGCTTCTAAACAGAAAGGAGCATGAGGGTTGCACTGAGCAGCCACATAAAGGGACCCTCTGTTTTCCTGTAAGGCATTGTGTAGAACCCCAGAAAGCATCTGAACTGTGTGACATGGGGTAGGGGAAGAGAGCCCTCCCACTGGCAGAGAGGGACTGGAGCCATCAGTGGGGCAGATCGGGTCTCCAGCCACCGGAGCTGCTGGAGCAGCAAATTGGGGATTTTTGACCCACTCTGAGGGTAGTCTGGAGGGTGTGCAAGAAGCTACCCCAGCTTTACTGAAATTAGCTGTACAGGGGACCTGCATTGGGCTGACTTTGTGAGTTCTCCTGCTTGGTTCTGAGGCCTGGGGGCAAAGGGACCCCGCAGGGTAGGTTCTCTACCTGTGTGTTGCTTTGTGCATTTTTGAGTTTTTAATTGCTGAATGGGTGTCCATCTTTCTGGCTTGCACTGAGGAGACAGACCAGCAAAAGTTGGTATTTCTGCATTGTGGGGAGTTTGAACTGAGCACCCTGTGAGATCAGCCAACCGTATCTGGGAAAGCAGGGACAGAGCACACCTAACTCTCCTGCAGGCTAGGAGTACCACTCCCAACAGGAAAGGAGCTGGTTCAGCTCACTGAAGCTCCAGATATCCCCCACATGGCACAGTCCTGAGAGGGAGGGGAGAACAGCTCATAGGATGACAATACCAGACTAAGACTCTTAGGGACTATTATTTGGGAACTGGAGGAAAAGCTTAAAACCCCTGCTGGGGGCTGGGCAGGCAAAGGGCTCACCAGAAGTTTTTTTTAATCGAACCCACTGAGCCCAGGCTGCTGAAACTGCCCATATAGAAAAAGCAACAGACTAAAATCAACCTGAAACTGCAGTAGACCACTATATGGTCAACTAGAATTGGAGGACAGGGTAGAGACTAAGGAGCTGGTTTTGAAGCAGAGACTAACTTCCCCATAGTGATGGATTGACAGTGAAGCCTCTAAGTAAGGGGAGCAATATCCCTAGCTACAATAGCCAGCCTACACCCAAAAGATTCTTCAGAAGATTCTGGAGTCTAAGATCAGGCAACCACAAGTGAGAGGCAAAATAGCTGACAAGTGGAGGTGGTCCACAGAGAGACTCAGATCAGCCAGCTACCTAAGGACACCAGAGCCAGTCCTAGAAAGCTCCTGACATTGGCTGATACACAAGTAACTCCCAGGAGAACCTAAATTAGCATACAAAACAGTGAGACTCATAAGCTGCCCAGATGAAATTCACCTGGCTTTTGTTTAGAATAAAGAAGGAAAAGAAAAAAAATTAATTTCTAATTTGTTTTGCTTTATTTTGTTCTGTTTTTTGTTCTATTATCAAGATTTTCTTGATATTCCCTGCTTAATTGCTGGGATATTATCATTATTACCAAAAAATTTACTGCTTTTCTCTTTGTGTTTTCTCCCCTTTTATTCTCTGCCTTCTCTTTTTGTTTGTAAGTTTGTTTCCCTTTGTCTCTTTATTTTTAGTTTTTCTTTCTCAAATATTTTCCTATTCTTATGCTCTACCCTTAAATTTTGTTCACCCTTCTTTCAGAATCTTTTCTCTGCCCCTTTTATCTCCCACTAGCTCTTCTATTTGTTACTTTTCATTTTGTTATTATTTTGTATTTTTTTTACTATTGGCAATAATATCCTTTTTTCTCTCCCTCTCTTTTGTTTGCTTTTTATTTTATTTTATTTTTTTGCTTTATTATTTGTGTACTTCCTTTGCTCTCCCTATTCCACTTTCTCATGTGATGTTTTCATTATGATTGTCAGGATGTTTTGTAAGGTACTTCTTGTTTACTGGCAGTTTGGTTGTGTTTTGTTTTGTCTGGCCAGCACCTGTACAACAGCTCACATGACATAGTTGGAACTGAGCCACAGAGTTAGCCAACCTGAGAGGAGAGTCCTCCTAAGAGCGGGTCAAAAAAATCTAGAACCAATCACAACAAGAGAGCACAAAGAACACACAAAAGGGACACCCACAGAAAGCACAAGCCCTGAGCAAATAGCTCAGAAGTATAAGGAAAACACACCTCTGGGCTCCACTGGACATATTCTATAAAATTCCACCCCACAAGACAGGGAGACAGCAAATATTTCTAATATACAGACACAAACACTAAGTCACCAAAATGGGGAGACAAAGAAACAATCTCCAAACTAAAAAAGAAAAAAAAGGAAATATTGTCAGAAAAAGACCTTGATGAGATGGAATTAAGAAAGTTATCAGAAATAGAGTTCAGAGTAATGGTTATCAATATGCTTAAAGAAATTAATGAGAACAATAGGACACGTAATGGAAATGTCCAAGAACTTAGTGAAAACAGGAAAAAAGAGCTAGTTATGATAAATAAGAACCAGGCAAAAATGAGGACTACTATATTTGATATCAAGAATATGCTGGAAGGAATTAAAAGCAGGCTCAGTGAAGCAGAGGATAGAATCATGTGATCATATTAATAGATACAGAAAAAGCATTGGATAAAATCAAGCACCCATTGTTGATAAAAACTCTCAGCAAAGTAGGAATAGAGGAAACATGCCTCAACATAATAAAGGCCATATA